TCCCGCCTATCGCAGTTTCAGCAGCTTCTTCAGCAAGCCGAACACCGTGCTCTCTCCGCCGACCAAACTCCTCCTCCTAAAATCACCTTAGGTTACTTCCCTCATCTCTTCCTCAATTTTCGAATAAATGTGAAAACGTAATCGCTTTCTCTTTTGCTTTCAGATCATGTTACTGTGAGCTTTGCCAGAAGTGGAGGACCTGGAGGTCAGAATGTCAATAAAGGTTGGTTGCTTGTTTATTTATTTATTTATTTATTTTTATTTTTATATATATCTCTTTGTGCTATGTTGGGGTTCGTTAGTGTTACTCATTAGACTGCTGATTCAACAGTGAACACCAAGGTGGATATGCGCTTCAACGTTAAAAATGCATATTGGTTAAGTGACAGAATCAGGGAGAAGATTTTGCAATTGGTATGTCACAACTCGAATATCCTGTAATTATCTGTTTAGCCTTATTAGCTCCTTCTTGGAAGTACATAATATTGTTTTATGTGTATTAATATTTGTGCAGTAATTACATACTTCGTAACTTAACTGGTCACTTTTTTTTTTTTAATCTCTCTGATTTTGGTTTGAATTATCATCTACCTTACGTGAGTTACGTCTACGGTCAACCTTATTTTTTAGTGATGTTTAATTTTGTTGGTGCTGAGCAGGAGAAAAATCGTATTAACAAGGATGGGGAGCTTGTGATTTCTTCAACCAAAACAAGGACGCAGAAGTTTGTTTCTTCCTTTTTGTCTGTTTCCCTTGTATACTGCAAGATTGGTTGGTCTTATTCCACCTTTTTTTTCTTCTTCTCAGGGGTAACATCGAGGATGCTTTGGCAAAGCTTCAGGTAACTTAGGAATTTAGTATATAGAAGTTCTTTTATTAAAATTGTTCAAAAGAGTGCTTTAAGATCAGGATGTTATTGTTGAAGAATTATCTCCCCTTAAAGCTTAAATTGTTTGGTGGAGACCCAAATGGTTTTTCCTTTTGGTTTTTGACAGTTATCATTGCTAGGTACATTTGGAATTGATTACGATTCTATATCTGTTGTCTTCTTACTGGAAATACATCGAAAAGAAAGTAATATTTTTGTACTTATTAATGAAAATAAAATATGTAAATAGAAAATTTTCCTTAAACCAAATGGACACTTATTTTTTAAAAAAAAGAAAAATAGAGATTTTGGCACCTTAAAGTGGACTTTTCTAGCATAAAAGACTATTTCTGCTAAGTAGCATCAACTATAGTAGACAAACTAACTTTCTGGTATCTCTGAATTTGATTACTTCTTATGCTTCCCTGGTTTTGGGTTTTGGAGGTGTTCCCTTGTGAAAAATGTGAGGTTTGTAATAATTCTATATCTTGCTTATAAATAAACCAGTGGAAGAATGTAACTTAGGATAGTGATTTGGTAGTAGAGATACCTCTCCCTCATTTTCTGTATTCTTGTTGTGTATTCTGACATGCTGACATGGTAAGTCAAATTTGAAGAATTCTGGTGGTGACTATTTTTGTGATTCTCTAAGGAGTTAAGAATAACATTTTAACGGGAAATGGAATATCCGAATACTCCTTGGAGGAGTTTGTACAATGGTTCCTTATTGTTGAGTGGGTTGATTTTCATGTCCACATTTTGGAACATTTCATTCCCCCAATCGTGGGTCATTTGTGATCCAAAATGCACTTAGTAGTGTTCCAGCTTTCAGACCTTATAGGAGCATAGGACAGTGACTTTACCCTGCTTCTGCATATGCGACTCTTCTCTGTTCCTGTGTTTGGAGAAGGCTCTGCATAAGGAGGTGGCCACAGGGGAGATAGAGAATTAAAGGATGAAATATTTTGAAAACAAAACCTGACTGCTGCTTTGTGCATAACATCACTTGATGGCAATGTTCAGATAATGGATCTAGTCCTATCGAGTTAGTTCAAGCACACAAACTTTTCACTCTATATGTTGTTAACTTTTACTGCCTGTTAGTATAGTAGAACTTAATGCTTATTGCCTAGCACTTAGCAATTTAATGCTAAGCGAACTTCGATCTTAAGTAGCAAACCAAATGGTATACCCCTCTGTACCACATGCCAAATTGTATTGCAAACCATGTATATCACTGGTCCATGGTATACTTGTTTGGATCCCAATATGGACAATAGGATGGGAAATGTCTTAGTTTTATGCAATATATAAAATATATTTTATTTGAGAAAACATGCATGCTGGTGTTTCTCTTGAAAAATATTATGTCTGGTCCATGGTATACTTGTTCGGATCCAGATAAGGAGAATGGGATGGGAAAGCGTTTCACTTGAAAAATATTACGTCGTATCCCTCCTTGGTAGTATCCTCTATGATATCATGTGCTTATTTGGATGTTAGACTTGAGAAGTTGAGTTATCTAATCTTCTTCCCCATTTCAACAATATAGATTGAGTTTATTCACTGCTTTTCTGGTTCCTAAAAATGAGCTTGTACTTAGCAATGGTGTTTTTATGTTTATTTACTGGCAAAAAAATAGGAAATCATTGATGCGGCATCTTATGTCCCGCCACCCCCCTCAGAAGAGCAAAAGAAGAAAATTGCAAAGATGTGAGATTATTTCTCTTTTTGACATTTTCTAATTCTTCCGGTTAAACACAATTTCTTATTTTGGGTACCATCTTGGGTGTGGCTTCTATTACACTAGAATCACTTGATGGTGAAGGGCATGTAACTGACAGATGTTACTTTTGAAGGGCTGCCATAGGAGAACAGAAACGCCTTAAAAGCAAGAAGGTGCTTTCAGATAAGAAAGCCTTTAGGAGAAGTAAAAACAGCTGGGACTAATACGTTGTTGTCCAGAATTTCAGACTGTTTCATCATTTTAGTAAGATCACATTATTGGTTACTTGAGATTCGTTTATCAAATATTCTATTGTTGATTTCATTATGCCTATATTCTCAATTAAACTCTTTTCTGAATCTTGGGGCTGCAGGGTGCAGGAGCACAATCCTCTTATACTACCATATTGGATACACACATTATATAAGTGGTTGAATCGGTTATAACCATGAATTCGAGGTGTATAAGCCCAACAAGCAACCATCGCGCTGGAGGGACCTCAAAGGTGGTTTGTAGCAGCTGCCTATTGGTAGTTAGCCAAAATTGTGATGTTGTTAGGATTTAAACGGATACGATCTTTTCAAATAGAAATGTCATATATTGGTTGAATCTTATGTTTTCTTTGTTAACTTATCCCCTTTTACTGAGCCTTTTGCACGTGTCCTGATCGGTAGATCTACAGACATTGTAGGTCAACAACCCTGGGAACTTGTTTCAACTTGAAAATATGTCGACATATGCTGCTGCTATGGCAACGGATTTTGTAATTTAGGTAGCTGCGAAGGTCGGTTCTTTAGTAGGTTCGTATTGGTACATTTCCGTGATAAAATTTTTAATCTTATCCAAACAGGTAGAACAATGTCATTTGTATTACACACGGAATTTGTTAAAAATTAAAACTTTGATGTATTGCTCTAAAGTCTACACAAATAGACGATAAATATCGTGTCATTTTCTTATTGCTTTGAACTTGATCCATAGCTCATAGTGGTCCTATAAACTATAAGATTTGGGATGTGACAACTAAAATGTGCTTTCGCGTTGGGCATAGGGCCTTGATCTCATGTGTTTTCCGAGAAATTTATCTAAATATGACTTAAATATTTAATTCAGAGGATATTTTCCAAAAAATAATTTAGTTTTCTTATAAAATATTTGTAGTTCTCTTAATAGATGATAAAATATTGAATGCATTTAATGTTTTAAAACATTAAATGTCTGTATTTTTTATTTAATAATTATTTAAACTAGTATTTTAACATGTAAAATATATAAATAAGTTTATTATATTTAATTAAAATTTATAATAAATTATGTACAAATAAATAATATGTTTGAATATATAAATTATATTTAAATTTTATATAAATAGATACTTTTAAACATAAAAATTATATTTTTATTTTATGATAATTTATATTGTATTAAAAAAACTATCTTTATGCTAATAATTAATTTTAAAATATTAATATTTAATTCATAACTAATTATGAAAAATAAAAATTAAATTAAATAATAAATTAAAATAACTTACAAATCCTTTAATTGAATAAAAGTCTCTAAAAATACTCTTTTTACAATATAGTCAATCTTATTTATTTAATATATACAATTTAGTTATAAGAGAATTTGTGAAAATGTTTAAAAAAGTGTCATCTACAAACATGGATGAAGAAATGATGAAATAAAAAATAAAAAAAAGGCCCATTTACAAATATCATAGAAAGGTAGTATATAACGGATATAAAAGAAAGAATTAATTAGCCATACATTGTTATTGTAAAATTTTTAACGCTAACAACCAATTATATATTTTAAATTATTTTATTTTATTCTTATTTCATTAAATAAGTAAATGACATGATATTATTAAAAAATATGATTAGTTTTCAGTGAAAGAAGTGAAAAAAAAACTTTACATAGTATGGATGATTATATCTAAAAGAAATGGAATGGTTTATGGCATATAAATTCATGCTGTATAAGTGTATTTACAAAATAAAAGAAAAAGAAAAGGTGAATAGTAGAATACAATGGTGGGTTTGGTTAAATGAGTAAACACAGAAGAAGAGTAATTAAGGTTTGGGTTGTTGTGTTTTTGGCTATCCCTAAATTAAAGCAGTGTTTGTTAAAAGTTAAAAGTAAAATGATGGGCAGAGTTAGGGAATTGAGTATTCATCGTCTAATAACATGAACCTCCCCTGATTGCTGATCAATATGCTTAATCCATCTCTTAGCAGCCGAAGCCCCAACAGCCGACACGTGGGCGATGTCAAGGCCCTTACCAACAGGAAGAAACACGGAGCGAACAAGACGGCGCGACGCTCCCTCAGCCACACTCCGCCACCCAAACCCATTCACGCCCGAGTTAACATTCTTGCATATCAGCACAGCCCCTTTCGCACTCAGCTTCGCCAGGCCCAGCACTCGGGAGAAGTCATCGCGCGTCGAATCCACCACCATGAAGTCCCCCCCCGCCAGCCCCTCCATCACCTCCTCCGCCTCCCCCACCGCCATCTCCGCCCGCATCCCCGCCTCCGCCATCCGCTCCGCGTACTCCGACCTCGACCTCTCGTCCGGGACCACGCACACGTGCCGCCCACCCGTGTGCCCCCTGGCCACCGCCAGACCCACGCTCGTCGCCATTGCTCCCCCCTCCGACCACGTCTCCACGATCAGCTGCGCCTTCCACCCCGCCGCCATCGCCGACACCAGCTCCGCCACCCCCGATTCCCGGAAAACCCGGCACTGCACAAAAAATAAAAAAGCAAAAAGGGTTAGAGGCTTATAGATGGAAGTGGAACTAATGCAGCAAACACGAGTTAGCGCTTTCTTACGGATTGTACTGTTTGGATGTATGCCTTGGATGCTGTTTCTGGAGACCAAACTAGTTTCATTTTCCTTCGATGCGTTGCGTTGCGTTGGTGATTGTGAATATGGGAATATATGGCCAATGAGAGGGATTAATTATATATAAGCGAGAGAGAGAGAGAGAGAGAGAGAGTAGGGTAGGAGCGTTGACATTTATTCCGCGCCAATCTGACGTGTGTATTAGATTCGGATAACTCCGCTTTTCTGTTTCTCTATTCAACTGTTTTTTTGTTTCTCTGTCGCCATTAAGCGATCGATGCTTTCCCTGTCATGTCTTACGTGTATCATACAACTACAACTTACTGTTCCACATTCCAATAAAGGATAAATGGACACAAATAAATAAATTATTTAATTCATTTTTTCTTGTACCAATATCATATACAAGGAAATCAAACTCTGAGATCAAATCAATTATGTAACCGCGACAAATAAGAAATAAATTATGAACTTGTAAATATTTCATGTACGAATATTACATTGTTCCTTCTAGAAAACACATCTCTTAGAAATTTCTTCGGTTTGAACTCAAGAAATTCCTAACAAGTTCCGCAATGCATGACCTCAATGAAGTGCTTAAGGCACATTTAACAAGTGTGTTTTCTTCCTCTAATATGTTTTTTTTTTGAAAGGTGTGTAAATATGTGAATGTGACCTTAAATGAGTGTGGGAGAAGGGGTGCCTGGGGTGGTAAGGATTGAGAATGGTGTCTTAGTCACATGTGAAAAGGTCCAAAGATTATAGACTCCCAAGTTCTTTGCAGTTTAGGGCCTCCCCAGCCATTAATGTGATAGGGTCATAGTACTAGGTTGATACTATAGGTGTACATGTTAAATCGTTAGTAAGTGTTGGCAGTATGTGTACCACTCCAAATTATAAAGTATATTATAAGAACTGTAAGAATAATAAAAAATGATTTTTTGTTGTACAAATATTAATTTCTTTCTATTTTATTTTGGCTGACGTTTAATATTTTTTTTTCACATGCACTAAAAAAATGCAATTAATATCTTAAATTTCATGAAATTTGTTATGTAATTTCTTAATATACTATTTATTTTTCATATTAGATAATTCACTTTCACACACACACACACACACACACATATATATATATATATATATATATATTATTCTTACCGGAATTTGACCGTAGGGGTGATCCGTCCAGTAAGATCGGTCTCCTTTGCTTGATGTATTGGTGCTCCAAGATGGGGGATGTACCTGCAAAAGAGACTCCGATGTCAAAGTTAGGGTTTGTATGAGTAATAGTCTCGTATAAGTAATGCACGTACCTTGGAGCGAATTAGGTTTTCTTTGAGCTCTGGGCCTGAGATAATATATGATAGCGGATCTCGTCTAGGGCGAGATCCTCGGTAATCAGTGATTAGATAATGGATCTCGTATGGGCGAGATCCTCGGGAATCAGTTGTAATTCACCTGAATGCTGAGCTGACGTCGCTTATCTATTTTCTATAATTAATAATGTCATGATTTAATATTTTATTCTAAAAATACTCATAAAATTAAATAATATAGATAATAGTTATATTCAATAATCTTACTCTAAAATGAAAGAATATATTTTTTAATCAATATTAGTTGTCCAAATGAATACATTCCATCAAATAACAACTTATAGTATAAGTTGTCTAATAAACATATTTACTTTTGTAAAAATAAGTATAAAAAAAAGAGCTTATTAATAAACTCCTAATAAATTAAAAATATAAAAGATGATTTTTAAATTATATTTCTTATAATTAAGATTAAAATAGGATTCTTTGTTTATTATAATTAAGATTAGAATAGGACTCTCATTCGTTTAGTATATATATCATAAAAGAGGTAATAACTTTTAGAGATCTGAATAAAATTTTACTAAAAAATATTGAATTTTCACATAATTCATATTTTTTTCATTCTGTTTAAGAAAAATACGTAATGAAAATAATAAAATTTAAAAAAAATCTGAATAATTTGAAATAACTTAAAATTGTCAAAATAATTACTATTTTATTACTTGGAATATTTACTAAATGGTGGTAAAATTGGATGGTACACGAAACAGTACATGTTTGTGGCTGTGAGCAGTGTAGTTGAGCATGGCAATGTTGTCCAAAAGAGAGGAAAAGAAGATGAATAAGCAAATTACCTTGTTGGGAATAAGCACAAGGTTGAGTTGAGAAGAGGATCGCAGGAAGAGAAAGAAAAAGCAGGTTCCAGCACCAAAGAGCCATTGGAAGTGAGTTGTGAGGCACAGAAGTAAAGCAAGAACTTAAAATGATGAAACGACCCTTCTTCCTAATTATATAAAGATGAAACCCAACGATCATGGCGGTCCTATTTGAGCAATATAAAGATTGCTCACTGTTAATTTATGTGGCCAATAACTAATTTAATTCATTATTAATATTGCGGGGACCCACCATGTTTAAATGCAGAGATTTTGAAGGCCATCATTCAAAATCACCTTCCGGATTTGTAGAACACAAACACATAATTTAGGAGCGCAGTTGGGTTTTGTTAATTGCACCGCTGCCCTTCACGTACAACTTGTTTCATGCCCAATTCTTATCCATTGCCATTCATTCTCTTTTCACTGCTCTGTCTTTTCTTTTTCCTATTTTTAACATGTCAAATACTTCTCTCTTCTAAAATTTACCTTTAATTTCTTTCTTCTACGTATTATACCTCCACCTCTTTTTTTAAGCGACTTCTAACAAATTTTGCACACAAAACACATTAGGGTTATACAATTCTTTCCGGATCCCACTAACAACCTTATCCGAAAAGACATCTATTTAATACGGATTTAAAGAAATTAGACTCCATGTATCGTTTACATGAATTTTAGTTTATATATATATATAGACGAGGGTTATAATAATACTGATGTAATTTTTACTAAGTATTATATTACTCAATAACTTTATATTAAATGTGAATTTTGTAAATTCAACTATTAGATTGAAAGTTCACATCACTTTATATGTTTATATCAAATTTTGTTAAAATTGAACAATAAAAAAGTAATTAAAATGTTCATATTTTAGTATATTTTGAAATGTATATATTATGTTAATTTTGTTTTATAAGAATGAAGTATCAAATAATTTTATATTAATATAAAATTTTGTATAGATGATCTAAGAGTAAAAAACTTTCAATCTAATGGTTGGATTTACAAAATTCACATTTAATATAGAATTATTGATCAGTGTAATACTAAGTAAAAATTACACCGATATTATTATAACCCTCCTTTTATATATATATATATATATTACAATAACGAGAATAAAATTACAACTTGCGACATAATGTAAATTACTCTAGTTTTTACTATTAAGCCGATTCTATTAGGATGGTTTGATGTCTTATTATTTTTAAAAAGCATGATTTTTAATCGATTATGCATTGAGGCGGAGTGTATCCTTTCGCAGGTCGGGGTGACCGCTGTCGAGGTGGGAGACCAAGCTGCTGAGCGAGTTGCTCGGGTAGCCGGGGTGGTAAGTATCTTGTTTCTTGGGTTTTTCGTTAATACTTTTATTGTGCTTTCTGGTCGCTTGACCTAGGGCCATTTTTTGCAGGCAGGAAATGCCCCTGAGGCAGCGACGCAGGCTGCCGAGTGGGTTGCCCAAGCTGCTAAGGTAGGTAGCATTTGTTTGCTTGATTTTGTGGTTCCCCATATGTCACCTGGTTTATTTTTGACATGGGGTTAATTTTCGCAGGAAAGGTCGGGGGTCCCCATTGTGGACTTTCTGGATCCCGAGCAGGGGACGCCGACTTCCGTCGCTGCTGAGGCCCGTGGAGGAGGCCCTAGTCATGAGGTTCCTTCGTCTGCGGCTGCCGCTTCGGCGTCGCCTCTTTGCCCTTCGCAGGAGGCTTCCCGGAGCCGATATCTGACTCACCGTTTCGGGAAGGGTCTTTCCAAAGTGCGGCTGGACCACGTGAGCGCCTCCGCCGACTTGGATTCGCTGTGGAGCGCGGGGGTGACCGGGGAGAAGTTCTACCCTCAGGGTTCGTTGAGCTCCGAGGACCAGGGGTTGATAGACGGGACCGGTCCCGAAGAGAGTTTTGATGCGGCCCAGGTCCTTCTGCAGAGGGTTATGGGCATATTGGGCCATTGGAAGCCCAGGTGGGGCCAACAGCGGGAGAATTTGGTCAAGCAACAAGAGGACCTGGCCAAGTTGAGGGGCCGACTTCAACCTTGGAAGGAGGCAAACAAGATCCTGAGGGAAGAGAATAAAGCTCTTAGCGTAGCCCTTGATGAGGCAAAGCGGCACGAGGCTGAGCTCTGCTCTGCGTGTGGCGACCTTGCAAAGAGGAGTGGAGAGGGCTTAATGTGAAGACACTTACACAGGTGTTTGAAACCTTGCAACTGTGCCCAGCTATTCGAGTGCAGTTGGGTAGGAGCAACATTCAACACCCTCAACACCCCCATAGTAAACTCGTCAAACGGCAGCTTTACCTTGAGATCCCGAAGGAGGCAATCGTACATGTAGAACAACTCCATCTTCGCACCACTTTGATCAAGACAGACCATGTCGGGATTAGGAAAAGCATTGTTTCAGCATGACCGAACTCCAACCGGATAAGGATTCTCAGTAGCGTCAAAGTTCAGGCAGTTGGTGTAGTCCAGTAGGTTAGTGATCATATCCGTATCTCGGTATCGAGAATAGTAGGAGGTTACCTCCCCATTCACCCACTCGTATCCAGGCACCTCGGATGGACCGTATCGTTGACGATTCGATACACGCTTTGTCTTTTCCTGAACCTCTTCACTCCCACTAGTAGAAGTCTCTTCTGGAGAAGAAACACCATCATCTGGCCTTTCGGCATCAACAGGGGACCGAACCGTGCTGGGACGACTTGAGTCACTGGACGAGGACCCCTCGGACGACGACGACCGAGAGCCGCTGGCCGAAGAGCTTAAAGAAGTATTAACCATAGCGATAAAAACTTACCAGTTTCTTCGCAGAACCACAATCGTTAGTCAGATCGGCTTCTAAGACCTTCGGCTACCACAATTCGGTTGAGAGCAGTACGTGCGAATGACCCTACCACGCAACTTATTTATA